GAGAGAGAGAGAGAGAGAGAGAGAGAGAGAGAGAGAGAGAGAGAGACACGGAACCTACTGTTCCAGGTCCTGGGAACACCACACTGAACCCAGAGCCCCTGCTTTCCTGGAGCCCACCCGCTAGTGCTGGGGACAGAAAATAGGAAACATGGTACAATAACCTCAGGTATTGATGAGGACTTTCCAAACAGGAAAGCAGAGTCAGGAGCTAGAGCATAGAGTAGAGGGAGGGGCAGCTGCTTTAATAAGGTGGTCAAAGAAGGCCTCCCAGACAGGAAGCATGGAGCCGATCCAACCCGATGGAACTAGAGCTCCGTCTGCAAGACCATCCCAGGCGCGGGGCCAACGAGTGCTGTGACGGGAGCGTGCTGGAGACGGTGAATAATAGCCCGGCACTCAGGGAGGATTGAGAGGGTGGGATGGCCGGGGTTAGACTGTGCAGGTTTCTGCAGACTTCAGGGATGGCTTCTGGGATTGTTCTAAATTGAAGGGGAAGACATGGAAGGATTAAGAGCATCAGACGACACAAGCCTCCATGGCGCACAAAGGCAGGGGGCGCCATTTACAGAGACCATGTGAAGGAGCCTTGCTGGAGTTGGCTGACTCAGTGGCCCTGCAGCTCCAGCTCGCCTACCAGGGCAGACATTGCTAATCAATCACAGATCCTGTTTCTCCAGCACGAGGCGCTCAGAATCCTCCTCCTCTACCTCGCACCCCGGACAACCCTTGCCGCTTCCTCAGAGCTGGCCTGCGAGATGCCCGGTGTCTGCCATCATTCTCCCTGCCCCTTTGCTGAGATAAGGACTTCCCAAAGCTTTTCAGACAAGATCTGGTGACACACAGTTGGAGCAGACCTGATCAGTTCTTTATTGGGAAGGGGATGCAGCCTGTAATCCGACAAATCTGTGACCCCAGGAAGATTTCAAGTTCAAGTCCCAGCCGGTTTGCTGTGAGTTCGTACCTGCCTCGGAGAAAGCCACAGGTGTGGCAGTTATGCCACCGCCAATACACCTGGATGATACGGACGGCGTGGAGCAAACGGATGTAACGCTGGCGGATGCACCACATGCGGACCCAGGATTGCAGCCTGACTACCGCCCAGGTTTGCCGAGCGTAGGACTCCAGGGCCGCCCGCCGCCTTTCCTCCAGCAGCTTCGCCAGCACCTGCTTCCACCAGCGCTGAATAATGGAAGCCCTGAGCGCCGCGTGCAGCAGCGTCCGGCGCACCAGGGTCCCCCGCCACCAGGCCTGGATCTTTGTGGCTTGCTGCTCTTCATCAGGGTGTACCTTTGAGGGGAGGGGATGTAAGGAAAAAAAGAGAAGGGACACTCAGGAAATGGTCCCCACCCACCTCAGCCCCATGGTGTGCCAGCAAGGGGTCCTGATCCTTTATCAGCAATGGCCTCTTCTTCAGAAGTTCAGCAGCACTGGGCACGGCCCTGTCTGGAGCCAGAAGACCGGACAGGTATCCTGTCTCTGCCACTCTTGGATAATGGACACAGACACATCACTTGTTCTCTGAATCTCAAGGTTCTCATCTGTAACACGGGCACGCCTGCCCTAGCTATCGCTGGGTTATATGGACCCGGTTGGTCAGGCTAGAAAGAGAGCAAACACCATGACCTCAAAGGCCAAAGGGTTATCATGTTCCATCAGGGCTTGACCACCTATCTGGGATACAGACCGGTTCCCTTCGGTGCCCACCCACAGGCTGGAGAAGTGGCATCCTTTGCTCTCCTTTCATGCCTGACTCCAGCTCCAACCCACAACTTCCTGTGACCCTCTGTCAAGTCACAGAGGCTTCCCTGTTTCACGCAGCTTCTGTTTTTCTTGCTTTTTTTTTTTTTTGGTTCTCACATTACTCCAGTTAGCATCCATGTGCACACACACATCCCTACATGATTCTACACTTGGGGTCCCCTTTGCTTGGCAATGTCTTTCCCAAACTCAGCCCTCACCACCCCACTCCCCAACTTTGAATGGTCTGATTCTCACTTGCCAGGGGTTCTCCCCACTACAACCAACTCTCCATGTTTCAGTCACACACCTTTCTCAGACAGAGAAAGAAGTAGGAGAAGAGGAGGGCCACGGATGAGTCAATTCCTACACATTCCAGCTCTGGATGGGACAACCATTCACCCTGGTCGACCTGGGACAGTCTCGGTTTATGATTGTTCTTGAGTAATATTGTAATTCATGGCACAAATGTGTCCTGGTTTGGATGACAAGTTCCATGATGATCCCATGCTATAGGCCACAGAGATCACCCATCACTCATGGGTGACTTGAGTGATTGAGTGATCTGATTTGGGTCAGAGAGAGTGCAGGTGGGGGTCACCCTCACCTTCAACTTGGAGGAACTCGGTTGGGGGGTAGTCGGAGGCTTTTCCTTTTCTTCTTTTGATTCCTCTTCCTCTTCCCCGTCTTTTTCCTGTATTTCCTCATATTCTGTTATTGTGACTTCACACAAATTGCCATCTTTCTGTAACCAGAGTTCAGAGGGGAAGGTGTGGGCAGGTTGTTCTCTGTCCAACGCTGTGCCACGTCCACCTCTTACTCAGCCGCCTGCCTTGCCCAGAGGCCCTGGAGGCAGGACTCGCGCCCTGAGTCAACTGTGGAAATCACCTTCCCCTGCTAGCACCTTTGGGTGGACTGGCCCTCTCTTACACAGCATCGAATGCCCATGGCTTGGAAATAGATGGCTCAGGTCTCCTCAGGTCTTTGATCCTCTAAACTGTCCATAGTTGGGAGCTTGATGGTTCCATCGCTCTTAGGTCTGATCTGCTCCAGCCATAGCTCTGGCAGGAAGAGAGGAGGAGGGGCGAGAGCCATGATGTCATAAGGGCATCTGTGACTCAGGCACCAGGATGCTTTCCAACAGTTGAGCCTTTTTTTGGTAAAAATGTGGAACTCCTGCCCATTCTTTCCTGCCATAAATGCCCCAAATTTGGCTAAAGAGGCAAGGCTCTCGAAATACTAGCCCATTGGCACAAATGTGTATAAAGGTAGTCATTTCAACCTGGTTGATAAAACCATAAATTTGAGACAATTTAAACACTATCAATGGGGAATTCAATTACATGGATTTCAATTCAGTCAAATAATGGAACCAAATGATTAGAAAGAATGAGCTTGGAGTAAAATTCTTAAAAGAAAATTTACAAATGGGCTAAGAAGCACAGGAAAAGATGTCCAACATCATCAGTCACGAGGAAAATGAAAATTAGAACCACAATGAGATACTTCTAAACACCATAGAGAATAGCTAAAATAAAAAATGCTGAGAACACCAAATATTGGCAAGGATGTAGAACCATTGAGCACTGCTTAGGCACTGCTGGGGGTGGGGGAAGAGATGAAAGAGTAGAAACACTTCACAACAGTTTGGCAGTTTCTAATAAAGGTAAGCGTATATCTGTCCTATAGCTCAGCAGTTCTACTCCTCAGTATTTACACAAGAAAAACAACAACTCATGTCCACAAAAGATTTGTGCATGATTGTTCATAGCAACTTTATTCAAATAAGTCAAAATTGGAAACAGCTCAAATGTTCACCAATAGGTGATTAGACAAAGAAATTGTGGTATATTCATATAGTGGAATAATATGCAGTGATAAAAATAAACAAATTACAGATACACACAATAACATAGAGGAATCTCAAAAACCTTATGCTAAATAAAAGAAGCCAGACACAAAAGAGTACTTACAGGATGATTGCATTCATATTAAATTCTAAAACAGGTAAAACTAAACTATAGGTAAAATAATTCAGAATAGAATTTATACTTAGGGTAGGGTTATAAGAAGTATTGTTTGCAAACAGCACGAAGAAAGGAGAAATGTGTTATATCTTATTTTGTGTGGTGGTTACTGAGAAATACAGAATTGTGAAAACTCATCAATTAAGAAGCACTTAATAAAACCACAAAGAATGAGTTTGTTCTCTAGGCATTGACATCGAAAGTATAAGTAAAACAAACTGAAGAACAATATGGTGCCTCTCTAGATACATATTTATATGTATGTGTTATAAAGGCATGATTTTTAAAAAGAGGGGATCAGAGAGATATACATTATAAAAATTTAACCATAATTATCTTTGATGAGGATAGTGGAATTAGGGGGACGCGGTAAATTTCCTGGTTGTATCCCTGTGTCTGGCCCATCTGCCAGGTACCCAGTTATCAGCCTCCTGGGGGAACCTCAAGCCCCCAGGACCAGCCAGGGCCCCCAGCTCAGGCTCAAGTGGCCTCAAGTACTTTCCTGTCTTCCTCTTCCCCATTACTCTGTTTCTGCCACACCAGCCTCCTTGGTGTTCCTTAAACATGCGGGGCACATTCTTGTTTCGGTGCCTTGACACTCAGTGGCACACTCAATGATCACCCATATAAAAGCAAGTGCTCCTCTCCATGCAGCACGCTCTGTCATCCTTGCCTGGTTTTTCTCCACAACAAACATTACCACCTAAACACTCTCTAAATAACTGCTCCAATAGGGCAGGAATCTTGCCTGCTTTTTTCCTGAGTCCCCACAACTTTGTGTGGCACTGAGTGGGTGCTCAGTAAACAAGTGATGAGTGAATAAATTTGGTCTAAATAAATCCTACTGAGCATACGCCGCTTAGTCCTAGGTTGCAGATTTGTGCTTTCCCTTGGCCACAGGACCTTGGTCGTGGATTCCAGACAACACTAAGCAACACTAACTTTTGTTCAGAGGTTCATTCATTCATTCACTTATTCAGCAATTGTTGAACCCCTACTATATGCCAGTTACCATTATAGGTGTTTGTTGAAGCAAAGAGTAAGACAGGCAAAGTGTCTACATGCATGCAGGTCACATTGCAGTAAGGGAGACAAGCCAACAAATGAATGTGCTTTCCATGAATGGGGACAGGTGGCCATTTGTGTTTCTGTGCACTGACAAAGGTGTTTATGGATTGAGCTACCTAGTTTTAACAACACCAGCCCTCACCAACATGGAGAAGTGGGTTAAGATTCCTGCAAAAACCCTGGACTGAAATGTTACTAACTTGCAAGCAGAAGCAAGCAAGATAACCTGGTGCTGATACATTTCTTGCCTCTAGAGGGAACTCCTTATCAGCCAAAATAAGATAACATGGAAGAAGCTTTCAGAAAACATGCTTTGAAACATTTCCTCCTTTATATGACTTTGCTGCCAAAAGGAATGTGGTTCACTCATAAAAACTCTTATAGCTGAACACTTAAAACTTTATAAGTATGATTTCCTCACCTACTTATTACTTACTTATCTAGCTCCCTCCACCCCCAAAAAATCACATTGGTTTTAAATCTATTTGTTTAAAATATCAAAATGTAACACCTTTTGATTCGTTTGTAGAATAGCTGACTGTCATTAGGGAATACGAAAAATTTTACCCAGATTTCAATAAAAAAGTCTTTGCATAGTTGGTGGATACAATTAGAAAGCGAGTGTTCTGAGTTTGGAGGCAGACCCGACACCGCCAACTTGCCTTCGAGTCACAGGTCTTTGCCAGTTTCAGCAGCCATTACAATCACTATCAAAGGAAGCTGAACTTAAACTCCAGACCAGAAGATCACTGTAGGACAAAGGGTTGAATCAGGACTTCCCTCCAGTAAGAAGAAAAATCAACCACCCAGGCCAAAGACAAGAACAGGCAGTTTCATAGAAAAGAAAACAGTAGGGGAAAAAGGATTCTGAACACATGCAAAAATGCTCAATTCACCCATAAAAAAAAAATCAAAGGAAGATTGGTGATGACAGGTCCTCCACGGTAAGGGTAAAGAGAAATAAGCAGTAAAACATATGGTTGGTCAGAATGCAAACTGGCAAAATCTCTTTGAGTAGCAATTTGACGATATACATCAAAACTGAAAATGCAGACTCCTTGATACAGCAACTCTACTAGGCAAATGTTTCCTACCAAAACATCCCCAAAAGTTAACACCTATTTGACACCAAAATGAGGTTAGGTCAGGACAAGAAGGGAAAACTATAGGCCAATTTGACTTATATAAATGTTAGCAAACTGAATTCAATAATGATTTCAAATAATATAATACTTAACCCGGATTTATCCCATGAGTACAAATGTATTGGTCATTGTTCTTAACTACAAATAACATAAGCTGATCCATATTTATTTAATCAGAAAATAAAAGTACTGAAAGAATATTTAGTAGCTCACCAGATTTCCAGGAACTCTTGGGGACTAAGCTCAGAAACAGGCAGGGCAAAGAGAAACTACAGGTAGGCTGTCTCCCACCAAGACAGATAAGAAGAATAGTCCCCAATCATGGGGAAGGGGCTCAGGTGCTAGGTAGTCTAAAATATGGCCAAGGCCCACAACTGTGAGGTTTCCACAGTAAAAAAAAAAATCTAGTGATGAAATTTATGCTATTAACAGCCTAAAGAGGAAAATCATGTAATCTTCTCTGCAGTTGTAAAAAGAAAAATATTTAATAAAATTCTTTATTAAAAAAAACCAAACCATTAGGAAATAACCTAACTAAAAAATGGGTCAAAGACCTTAACAAACACCTCATCAAAGAAGATATCAGATGAAAAATAAGCATATGAAAAATGTTCCACATCATATGTCATCAGGGAAATGCAAATTAAAACAACAACCTGATAAAGAGCAGCTATGAAAAACCCACAAATAACACCCTATTTAAGGGGAAACACCAAAACTTTTTTTCTCTAAGATGAGGAGTAAGACAAAGATATCCGCTTTCATCGCTGCTATTCAACATTGTACTGGAAGTTTTATCCAGGGAAGTTAAGCAAGAAAGATAACAAAAATGCATAAAAAAAGGAAAGCAAGAAGTAAAACTATCTGTATTTACTCTTAGTAAAACTAAGTGTTGGTGAGGATGTGGAAATTGGTGGCAATATAAAGTAGTTCCCTTACCACAGAAAACAATTTGATGGTTCCTCAAAAAGTTAAAGAGAGAGGCAGATCCAAGATGGCGGAGAAGATAACCACTGTGTGTGCTTCCTTCTGTGAACACATTAAAATTACAACTAAAGGGCCGGCCAGTGGCGCGATGGTTAAGAGCTGGCTTGGGACGCCAGAGGGCCCTGGTTCGGATCCCACATATGAGGGCCAGTGACACTGCCCTCCA